CAAGCAGCTTGGATAACAGCCGTGCAGGGGCACTTCCACTCCTTCCAGCACAGGGAGGCCAGTGTCGTCCACCCCAGGACCGCCCAGCACCTGTGAACGATGCCTGCCCACCAGGGACTGGCGACTCACCCAGCACATGGACGGAGGTGGCGGTGCTGACGCTGGCCACCTGGTTGGTGGCCGTGCACTCCCAGACCCCATGCTGCTCCTTGACAAGCGGGCGGTTTCCCGTCCACCTGAGCACCACTCTTCCCCGCGCTGCCCACCTGCATGGCAAGGCACAGACATGCTGATGGTGGGTGACCACCCAGCCCACCCCACCGCAAGGCCGGGATGGCTGCTCTGCAGTGACCCTGCAACACCGGGGCCTCGGAGAAAACGGGACTTGATGTGATCCACCACCCTGGGGCTGGTTTAGGAACCGAGGGGCAAGATTTTGCCCTGGTTTCTTAGAAAGCAACACAATCAAAGTGTCCTGGGACCCTTCTCCCGCAGGAACCAGGAGAGATGCGACCCCGCAGTGTATGCAAGAACATGAACGTGGGGACTGCCCTAGAAGTGACGGCCCGGGGGCCAAGAGCAGTGTCCACCTCCCAGGAGGGCTCAGCTGGTTCCCCAGAGTAGCAAGTAGCTCCTACCTTCAGCCAGGTGATGGTGGGTGGGGGATCCCCACGGGCTGCGCAGGGGATCACCAGCTCCCGGCCCACCTCCTGGAAGTATTCCTCCTTGGGGCGCACCGTGAAGGCAGGGGGGTCCTGGAAAACAGGCATGCATGGCGCGGGGCTTGGCAGCAGGTGGGACGTGGTGCAGACCCGCGGCAGGGCACGCTGACGGGCATGCAGGGCACCCGGGCTGCTCAGCACGGCAGGGTAGGAGCAGCCTGGGCTCAGGCAGTATGCCCACGCGCCCGGTCTCACCTTCAGTAGGACACGTGTGGGCCTGGACTCGCCGGTGGTGCCGTAGCTGTTGTATGGGGTACACGTGTACACTCCCAGCGCATCGTCATTCCCCGTCGCAACGACAATGGAGCCGTCTGGTCTCATGGACCAGCCAGGGAGCTGGGAGAGATGGGTGTGGGGTGAGGACGAGGGGCTTGAGGGGGTGGGCAGGCAGGGCAGGGCGCAAGTGGCCATACCTTGTCCAGCTCCAGCGGTCGCCCGTCCTTTGTCCAGCTGACGGAGAGCAGAGGGGGGTTGGCCCTGGTGGGGCATCGGATCACACCCTGCATCCCCTTGGGCAGGTGGGTCTCTGGGAGCATGGTGGTCACCTGCGCCGGATCTGCGAAGACAAACAGGGTGTCAGTGCCTGCATAAGCGCAGCAGGGGGC